CGTTAGAATGCCAATCCTTATATTTACATACAAATAAATGTTTAAATGCTACAATACATAGGGGAAAAAAGTCAAAGGTAGCTACGATGGTAACTACGGTAGCCGTGGTTGGTTGGCTGACATACTTCTAGTGATTATACATCGATATATGAGTACATTTAGAAAATCCGCAATGAATCATGATATTTTTCTTTCTTTCATAGCTTTTACATTTTAAACTAAGTAATGTGAGGAGCTCTACGATAAGAGATGGATGGTAAGCAAAAATAAAGGACTTCAACATGAAACATACAGAGTCATTCTGTTTTTACACAACTATATACCTATCCTTTGTGTAAAAAACAAATGACAAGAAATTCTTACCTCCGTAGCGCTTTCAACTCTTTAGAGTTTCATCAGGGCAATTTTCCTTTTTATATACTGTAGTCCCACGTTATACCGCCACCTTATGTCCCTTGACAATTTTGATGGTATAACGGGGGTGGCGATACAACGGGGTTTCAGTAGGACACATGTGCCTAAAATGTACATCTATCTGTAATAAACACAGCATAAAAATACACATATATTTATTTTGAAATGAATGAAATTTTTATCATTTGCAGCTTTTAAACATTATAAGTTTTTTTTTTACATTTGTACAATTCACCGACTTGTAAGAAAATCTGGGATGCAGAGTACGGACACGTATGGTCGTCATATGTTTTGATCAGGGGCGTCTCCTACCTGAATGTTGTGGGAACCATTTTATTTCTCAGTGTATTCAAACATTTATTGTCGTGTGTCGTGTACTGATTTGTAAAACTATCAAGTTTACGTAGCAGTGGTAATTGAAATCTGAGTTGACCGCCATGATGAGACCTCTGTCTCTCTTCCGATATAGGTCAGATGTCTATATATGGATATCATGACCAAAAATTAAAAAAAAATATTAGCCTTATGTGTGAAATATATTTGGTAAAACTGAAGACACCATTACATATTCTATTTATTGGATTTTTAAAGCATAAAACAGGAAAAATGTAATGCATTACAAAAGGGCGGGAATCAGAAGTGTAATAGCGCCATGTTATAATGACGTCACGCTTGACAAAAAGGCTGCGCACTATTTTGATTGGGATACTCAACACAATTCCGACGTTTTCTGCTATTTTTTGGTCTGATTGCTTATACAAATTTTATTAATTGTATATTTATGTAAATACTTAAATGTGTGCACCAAACATTTACCATAACAACCACGTATTCTACCGTCGCTTCATTTTAATCTGAACAAATAGATCGTTGCCTTTGAATGCAGTGAATAGAAGAACCCGTTATGATTGGTTATTAATCCGTTATTTCACTGGCAAAAACATGTATTAAATAGCTTTAATCTCTGCTTTCCTGGAATTCTTATATGATACTTTGGTATATGGTGTATGGTTTCTTTCTAATCCTGATTCCCTTTTCCATATCTTGTAACCTCAAAAATACTTCGGGACATTCTCATAAGCTTGTATATATCCGATGATGTAAAAGGCGATAATCAAATAGGCTCAGGTAAGGTGTCATGCTGACGTGAACTCATAATATTGTTTGATTCATTTAAGTGACAACCCTTTTATCAAAAATATGACATCATATTAGTAAACTATGTTCATATAAAAAGTTCACTGAACCTAATAAGTCTATGGTATACTTGATACATACAGTGTTATTATTTATCTTACACGCTGATGTTCTGTATGACCCGACATTCACTTTTCTAGGAATGGCATCACGTGCTACTATAAACATATACAGGTATACAGGTATAATAACGCCACTAACCATATTAACATGATAGATGACTACACTACTACCCAGTACAAAATACAATACTACTACCCAACCAAAACACACGAAGATCAAGTAGATCCATGTCATGATATTCACTATACACTGGAATAAATTTGTAATAGCCGTATGCATTGGTGATACCAAATGCATGATAATTATTAGAAAAATGAAGAAGCCAGCATTTATTTAACAGAAATAGGATGTCGATGTAGACAGTCAAATCAAATACATCTATATTTATTAAGGACTCGTCAGTGTCACTAAAACCCAAAATAATTAAAATGCATCTAAAAAGCCTTCCGATACATAGGTATAAATATAGGATAAAGAGGAGAGACGCCAAAAATGCCTTATGTTAATCTTGCCAGAATAAATTCCAGCGTGGAACTGATAATCTACCAGCAGAGTCACCCAATTTGTGATGTGAAAATAATTAGTAGAAATTGCGAAGACGGAAGCAGGAAAGTACACCTGGAAATATAAAAAAAAATAGTTTCCATTTCCGTTTGGATGCATTTTTATAGCACCTGCTGTCAACGGAGTGCCGGTATTAGAGTCAGCGCTTGAGTTCAGCATCTGTATATATATGTGTGACATCGGGACTGAAAGACAGACAAACAGACTTTCTCTCTAACAACTCAAACAGAACTAAACTAACGTTCGAGTGTTTACTAAACAGATTCTTTGTGGAATGTGAAACATATCACAGATAGCTATATATTCGATGTTGTGTTAAATTATAATCAAGCGATACAAAAGACAATTGTATGATTCTACTCTAGTGATACTTTGGTGAATTTATCCCAACAATCATCCATATTGATGTCAAGGAAGTAAACAATATAATCCCTAGACGTTCCCGTCAAATAACGGACTGGTCATTAGCTTACCTGGTAAGTTTTTGCGCTTTCCTTATTTAAAAGGTGTACATATTTCATTAGTGTCAATCGCAGAGCTAAGGGTTCAGCTGATTTATCGGGTGTTCAGGGGGAAAATCAGGTAACGGTATAGATACAACACTGTACATTCTCGCAAACTCGTAAATATCTATTCGGGTTGCCAAGTGTCATAGAAACAAAACACGTTGACAAAAGGAAAAACTATCAACCATGATTCTGAATTTCGTTACAATATTTTTTGACAAGTTTTATATTTACATTGTATATCTGGCTGTTCTATGCTTACAAGTACGTTACAATTGTTACCTTGAGAACCGACCGAGGTCGTGGTTATTGATGTACCGATGTGAGTGAAACTCGCCGTATTGCAAGTGCTTATTGAAAACTGTATTTGCTTTTGGTTTTGCTGCTTATTATCTACATCATTAAAACAAATTCAACAAAATGAACAAACGCGTTAAATATGCAAAAAAACATCGAATTGCATCCAGTGCAGATAAGCCGCAGACACCGTCAACATCGTGATGAAATCGGAATGTAAACACTGCAACAATATATATATATATAATATCAATTAACCAACGAGCAGCGGATTGCGGCACTGCGTGAACTCTTATGCGATGTTTGTTTAAGTGAACGGTTCACTGCATAGCTGTGTGGTAAGCGTAGGCTTACACTACTACCATAACACACCGTGATGAAAATAGATCTACGTCATGAATATACGCTTGGAGACATTCGATTTACCTTGTAATGAGTATAAAACCACAGGAATACCACATTTTAAAGTATTACAACAGTTCACTGCATATCATTATGGTGAGTGTAGGCCTACACGACTATCCAATACATAATACATCGTGACATAAGTAGATCCACGTCATGATCATACGCTTAGAGAATCCACTATATACTTGGAACAACCAATGGTAACGTCCTTTTGTATATTAAAATAATTGTAGGAAATCCCACTTGGATATTGTTATAATGTAGTTCTCCTTGTGCTATATTTGGTCACAATATCCTCGACCAGACTTGATAAGAAATTCCAAAACATTCCCCATCGTGGCCATGTATGTACATAATCTGTCAAAATTTTGCTAGCAAGTTAATACTGCTCTTGATCCGTATGACACACTAATATCAAATATACATTCAGAATGTTTATTTACATGATTTCTGCTTATATTTTTTGCACTTACGTTACCATGTCTATTTTCAAAAAAGCACTTAATTGCTATCTGATCCAACGTTTACGTACTAGTGCGTCACGTGACAGCCAGGAGAGACGTCACTTATGTACCCTCTGTAAATAACACCAATGCAACTATATTTTGTTTTGTAGTTACCTGTTTACCATAAGGTCTGAAACATTTAAGCAGTTCATTTGCTTATACTTTATTTTCAATTTCGAAATATGAAGAAACGCTGTCATATTTCATTGGTATGTAAAATTTTAAGAAAACAAATAATAAGAAATGAAAAGAATAATCATTTTAAGTCAGAACTTATTTAAGTGCCGTGTGAGGTTTTATAGAACACATTTTACCTATAACTTCCTTTCGGGCGCATAGGCAAGCAATTGTAGCAGTAGTGAACGGGCTATGTTTCATTATACTGTCATACGTAAATCGCCTAATAGAACGGATATAGAAGGTATTACAACACAAATTACAAATATGTTTTCAACGGTGCGAGGCGTCACCAACATAAAGGAAACATTCATTAAATAATCTGGTTGATTATACTTCTTTCATTTCGTTATATACTGCTATCAGCACACCGATTATTGTAATAGACGCCTCGTGATATTCTGGAGAGTTAGTAGGTCTTGGTTTCCAGAAACATACCATTATAATTGTCACCATGACTGCGGATCCTTAACCTAATCATGAATGAGCGATAACAGTGAACGTTCGTCTGTGCTAATTTGCTGAATTTCGAAAGTTATTGTTAAACTTTATTCGTGTTTAGTATTCATATTTTTTTGTATTAATACATCAAGCTAAACATAATGAAACAAACACAAATGTTGAAAAACACGAAATTCTCTCTAAATATCATTGTAAGCATCCTGACGTCAGTGTAATGTATAAATAGCAACAATGTTTCTTTTGTAAATCCGAATTTAGTAATATGCAATGAAATTTGGCGAAGCATTAACCCACTTGCATGGTAAGTTTGGTAAGCGTAATCGTTCTTAACAATGTGTTTTTTAGTAACATGTGAACTGTATATATCATCACATGGAATAACAATGTTCCCATTCTGTATTTACAGGATCTGTGACTTATCACCGAGATGGCCGATCAGGGTGAGCAGTATGAAAAGTCTTGGATTCTACATCATATCCTTGACAGGTTTATAGGGAGCCCAGAGATAGTGGAAATTAGAAGGAGGCAGATACTTATGAGTGAGCTTATGCTAAATGGTAGGAAACAAGGAACAATTACGTTTAACACGGGAAGTTTGGCCGAGGGAATCTGGATGAAAGGCTCAGACAAGGATACAATGTTCATTGGCGATAAAGTGATAGTTTTGTGTCCCTCCCAGCATTTCAGTATTTCACAGGATAGCAAAGATAAAACAGTTTTCATGATGAGACATGCTGACAGTCGACCTGGTTACGTGAACCTTGAAGTAGTTAATCTGGGACCGACATGCAGTGAAGTGATCGCCCAATCAATCGTTGGAGTTGGAAATGCACTTTTTATATCAAGTGAAATGTATAGACGGAATTATGCTGATACTATGGGTAATTTTGCAAATTCAATTGTGGAAACACATGGCCCAGCTGTTACTCTGACGTCTGCACAAAGTAAATTACGAGTTGATACTGATATTGTAGTTGCGATTCAGTGTACTAGATGGCCACATGAAGGTTTAGAGTGGGTGAGTCGGCCTCGCTTGCATAGTTGGCCAGATCAATCTTTGAGAGATGAGATAGTACAGGGCGGTTGTCAGCTGGTCCCTGTAGGAGACAGAACATCTGCTGACACATTCCTACAATGGCGGATTTCATTTACAACTGCAGAAAGGAAGCTCATTCATTCTCTTACTCATACACAATTTTTAATATATGGACTTCTCAAGTATCTCATCAAGCAAATATCAGACAGGTTGAAGTCGATATTTGGGGATGAAGATATCCTATCATCCTATATCATAAAAACAGTAATGTTTTATGCTGTGGAATCAACACCTGGATCGTTATGGCAAGAAAAAAACACATTTTTCTGTTTTGTGCTTTGCTTCAAGATTTTGATTGCCTGGGTGAATGCAGGTTATTGTCCAAATTACTTTATCAGCATCAACAATATGTTCTGTGGTAAAGTTCAGGGTGAAAACCAACAAAAACTCCTTCACGTTCTAATTGAACTGTATAATATGAAATGGGAATGTCTGTCAGTTGGAACAGTCATAGAACCACCTTTAGGGATCCGATTGCAAAGTGTGAGGAATGGAGCATGGGAATTGATATTACTTCCACCAACAAAATCAGAAATGCAATATGACTTCGAGATATTCTCTGCAGCTTTTTTAGCAACTGATTCGACTGACTTCCTTTCTGGGTCATTATCACTCCTATCTAAAGCAAGATTAGGCATTGGTGAATTCTTAGCTTACACTACAACATTACGTGCACTGTGCTGTACAGGAATGGGTACTTTCGAGAAACACATTCCTGCTAAAGGAAATAAAGAGAAGTATAATGTCTTCCGAAAATGCAAAAACTTGATAACACCACTTTCCTCAGTGTGTGCAAGTCCGGGTCTACTGACGCTGGCAACATATCACTACCAGACTGGAAACTACACGAAAACACTCGAGATGTGTAGAGTCATGTTATCATCATTCAAAATAAACATATTTTCCTCTTCGAATTACCAGGAAAGAGACATTTATGAAAATCTCTATTGTGGGCGTGGATACACCTTGCTCCATAAATGTCAGGAGGTATGGGTATCAGATGTAGAATTTCCAGCAAATGCTTTACAATTCTGTCCATCCCAGTTACATCCAGAGTTGATAAACATCCCTTCGACAGGTATACTTTCTATCCCTCCACTTCCATATGCTGTGTTCCTGACATTCCTGTGTTATCAAGAACTTGGCGACATGAGGAGACGTGATACAGCATTGTGTCACCTTAGAGCCGTGAAGTATGACAAGGATCAGGGAGGTAGTAAGCACTGGATAGTACACAATATCTTGGGGATATGTTATGAAATGGTTGGGGACACACGCAGGGCTATCAGGGAATACAAGGACTCTCTAGACGTTTGGAGATTTGACCAATATAAAAACCCTGCCAGAAGGAGGATAGAACGGTTGCAAAATTACCAATGAAAACATACATATGAGTCTTCTTATCAAACTTGGACTCTACCATAACAGCTACCATGTTAATATAAGAGGGTCAGGGGTTATTAGGTTACATGACATCTCTCTGAACATGTATGAGGTTCACCGCACCGTACCATGTCGTCCACTATTGTGTCATCATTGATGGAAAAGGTAAAACTAATTAAATGTTCATGTCTAAATTGTTTCGAAACATTCGTATAATCAGCAAACATTAGCGTGTTTCTATAAAAATCTTTATAACATAAAAGTTGACAAAGTTTGGCTCCAACAGATGTTTACTTTAAATAGTATATAATCAATCAGCCAATCGCGTGGATTGATAGTCCAATGACACTATTACGCCAATACAAAATGTTAAAACTTAACCAAGTTATTTGTTTTAACTGAGAATGGGTTTATAGATTGGATGCGTAAACTGTTGTCGTCGTCGATGGTACGACGAGAAGTATAAATCTATTCCAACACAACTCCATGCTTGAGTTTTTTCTTATTTATCGTCTTCCATCTAAATTGACAAACAACATTTTCTCCCATCATTCACACGTGTTCTCCCGTTTTAGCCGTGGAAAACCAGCGTATCACCCCATAGGGGGAGATAGCCTCGTGCCGATTAGCACGTGTTCAATTGTGACGTCATAAAATGTGTCACCGGTCTTGTAGCGTCATCAAAATTGAATGACGATATTCATATCCCATATGTGTTTTTGTTTACACTACTGTCAATGGAGTTGTGACTGAATTAATAAGATGGCAGAGAAATAAGTATCCCCTACCTTAATGGTGTTACAGAGAAATCTCCAACCCAAGGGATGAATTTTTGGTTTATAACCCTCGGCACGGCCTCGGGTTTAACAACCAAAACGCATCACCCCTCGGGTTGGATATTTCTCTGTCACACCTTCAAGGAAGGGGAAGTTTCTATCAATCATCATAATGCCTCTACAATAAACATTTGAATGAACAAGATTGGTGATATTGATAAAAAAAAATAAAGCGGATAAGCTTCCCATATTAAATAAATTACTCGCCATGGAGGACCTACCAGTTTAAAGCAATTGCCAAAAGAAGTGAAATCTGAAGTTCATCACCAATGCTTTGTTATGATTAATATATTCTTATTTTTATTGAGTAATTCCTTTTAGTTCACGCTATTGCATATTTCTATTATTTGAGAAGTAACTTCTTCAGCATTAAGCAGGTTCCAGCGAGATATAGTTACTTTCCTTGGTGCAAGTAACATCACCGACGCCATGGTTGTCAGAGAGAGTTATTTCCATTCTGCGGGTAATCACCAGTTATGATACCTCCATTCTTAAGGGCAATACGTCGGAAAAAGATAAAGTATTATTTGTATCGTGTTTACTTTTGTTCGCAAAATGATGCATATAAACTATATTAATGACACTAAACCGCTGAGACATCTCCTCTAGTCGTAATAGAGTCTTGGATATCAGATTTAAAAATATGTGAGTACATGAATAGCATGGCATTGTCGTATCACGGAATATAGGTCTATGTATTGGCAATCTATTTAGCCTGTTTCATCTAAATATTATTTGTCCTGTGTTTAATTTTATTACCCCATTGACATAGCCGATTCAAAATCAAACTGGCCGATAATCCTTTTTAAGGGATTATTGTTGCGCTCTTTTTCTTTTAAATCTGTAGATACCGATCAATCGCAAATTAGCACAATTTTAATGGACATCCATGATCATCCTCGATAGCCAGGGATTACGCTCACTTTCGCTCTCCACACTCCTGGGATATTTCATAGCAAAATTGAAGGCTCAGTGTGCACCATCGTGTTGATGAGACGAGAAGACTAGTTCGATACTTTGATGTACACCAAAAGAATTTCGCGGTCGCCTAACGGTAAAAACTTTGATATCGGGTGTTGCCCCTTTGTAATATTCAACGGACAGGTACCAGCCTAGCGATTGGTCAGTTTATTTTTCTTAAGGCCAATCAAACGGCTATCTTCGTGCTAAAATGTTGCTATGACATATTCCAGGGGTGCAGAGAGCGTACGTGAGCGTATCCCCTGGATATCAAGGATGGCGTACTGGATATCAAGGATGGCGTACTGGATATCGAGGATGGCGCACTGGATATCGAGGATGGCGTACTGGATATCGAAGATGGCGTACTGGATATATAGGATGGCCTAACCCATGGATATCGAGGATGGCGTACTGGATATCGAGGATGGCGTTCTAGATATCGAGGATGGCGTACTGGATATCGAGGATGGCGTACTGGATATCGAGGATGGCGTACTGTATATCGAGGATGGCGCACTGGATATCGAGGATGGCGTACTGGATATCGTGAATGGCGTACTGGATATATAGGATGACCTTACCCATGGATATCGAGCATGGCGTACTGGATATCGAGGATGGCGTACTAGATATCGAGGATGGCGTACTGGATATCGAGGATGGCGTACTGGATATATAGGATGACCTTACCCATGGATATCGAGGATGGCGTACTGGATATCGAGGATGGCGTACTGGATATACGGGATATCGAGGACGGCGTACTGGATATCGAGGACGGCGAACTGGATATCGAGGATGGCGTAAACCCTGGATATCGAGCATGGCGTACTGGATATCGAGAATGGCGTAAACCATGGATATCGAGGATGGCGTACTGGATATCGAGGATGGCGTACTGGATATCGAGGATGGCGTACGGGATATCGAGGACGGCGAACTGGATACTGAGGATGGCGTACGGGATATCGAGGACGGCGTACTGGATATCGAGGACGGCGTACTGGATATCGAGGACGGCGAACTGGATATCGAGGACGGCGAACTGGATATCGAGGATGGCGTAAAACCTGGATATCGAGCATGGCGTACTGGATATCGAGAATGGCGTAAACCATGGATATCGAGGATGGCGTACTGGATATCGAGGATGGCGGACTGGATATCGAGGATGGCGTACTGGATATCGAGGACGGCGAACTGGATATCGAGGACGGCGAACTGGATATCGCGGATGGCGTAAACCCTGGAAATCGAGCATGGCGTACTGGATATCGAGAATGGCGTAAACCATGGATATCGAGGATGGCGGACTGGATATCGAGGATGGCGTACTGGATATCGAGGATGGCGTACTGGATATCGAGGATGATCCTTGATATGACGTCCGTGACAACGAGATGACGTAATATAGCCAGTAACATGTACCATAAGGAAAATGATAATTCGAACAATTACTACATGATCTGTTATAAGAGACTGTCTTCCAAACCCTTTTATATGTGTTTTCTTACAATATTATCTATGTGATAATGGCTTATGAAAGACCTTCTGATAAACGAGGTTTTTGGATATCGATTCCGATTGGTTATTGTCGTTTTCAAAGTATATTCTCATTAATGAACTTTCAGACTCACGTTCTAATATATGATGATTTTCACACTTTCCTTCTCTCCGTCGTAATGCTATTTCCTTGGTCTACCCTTCGGTTTTGTTGGTGATTGTGACCCGCCTTTCTGCATGACCTGTTGAAACAAAACAAGAGTACATCTTTAATTCCGTGCAGACATTTTTATGATCTTTTAATGAAATTTTCGATACCAAAATTCCATGTATATCTTTTCAAATATGTGTTTATATCCTTGTGTTTTCCTTTTTAGTTTCAAAAACATAATATCAATCTTGAGTGATCCACGAAACCGTTTAATTTACTTTTTTTTAACATTGCATTGAAGTTATATAGATTGATGGTTATGTGTTGGCTTTGATGCCTCCTGGATTGTATAATGAAGTTTGGATTAATCACCCTTTAATGTTTTTAAAACATACCAAGAAAAATTAAGTCTTTATTTTGGTACCTTACATTGAAGTTCCGTAATATTCGTAAATGACGGCAAACACGTTGTCAATTCTGCTTTGTACATTCGTGTAGCATTGATATACAGAGACTTACCTAACGCATGGAACTATCTGCCCTCACCATTTGTTCCACTTCATCTGTCGAATTTGGTACTAGGTTTTGACCTGGATATGCGTGAGACCCAAGCTGGTGGGCAGATTGAGCCTCTCTGGTGTAGACAGATATTTATGTTCCTCAAAACGCTTTCTTAGGCCAGGAGCTGTAGGTCCTGCTCCAGCGACATTTCCTTGGCACCGTTTGAAATTTCGATAATGTACATTCAGCTGGAACGCAGAGGTAACTTCCCTCTCCCTATTTTGCTGATCAATGATTCCATCACCCAATGTGCCAATGGAATATATGTTGCAATAACGAGCAGAAAATTTGACCTGTTTACTCTTCTAAATTGACTATATGCGGTAACATTTGTTTTTGATATTTACCCATTTCTGGGATATCAGATTCCACAAAATAACAATTATATTTCTATTCCACTATACTACACACATAAACCTTGATTATTTCCTTATAATACAAGTAATTACTATTGATACTGAAACTTTGTCCATATTCAATTGCGTGGTCATCTATAAAAATACAGTGCTTTCTTCTGAATTACACAAGAGTATTGTGATGTTTTTACTTCTTCAGCGTACTGCAGTCCGTATCAGCCTTCCTTTCCCATTCGTCTTTCTTTTATAGTGCGCTTCCACATACACAGTAGGTGTGACAAATTAGTATGGAGCAAATATAAAGTATGCCATGTTGTTTTAAACGAACTAGCACGTTGACCTTAATCCTTTGGTGACCTTTTTTGCATACCTTTTCCTTACTATAGCATGTATGTATAAGATAAAGTCATGATGTGCGATAATAATGATCATTTTGACTTATTATTGGTAGATTTCTTTCATTACGTCTTCTTTTATCTTGTTTACAGCAAAAGGCTGCATTTCGTTATGTTTAACATGTTGTTATTTGAAAATTTATTTCATACTGTTACTCTTTATTTGACAGCTTTTTGTCGAATAAAACATTTCCACTACATTTTTTTTAATTGCTTGTTTTTTAAAGAAAGGAGTAAAACAAAAATAATAAGTACATAAGACGAAGAAAATTAGATCGCGGCATATCTTGCAAGACACTATATTTTGGCAGCTTCATAGATTATGTAAACTGTATTTCTGTAAATTTAAACGTATTTCACAACAATTATAATACAAGTTATATCAACGTATACTAATAATTACTATAATCACGTTAATATATGCAACATGCCAAAAATCAATTACACTAAACCATTGATGCCAGGACTACAGTTGAGTGGTATTGATTTTTGGCATGTTGAATATATTACCAGATTTTAATGGTGCGCTGACATGTGTGTGTCTAACGTTCATCTTTTAAGTATTATTCATTAATAGTCAGACATCCTTAATTAGTCTATAAATAATGATTACCATGTGAATGTGTTCACTTTTAGTTATGTATTCGCCCACTGTTATTTTAGCCTTACACATATGGTTTCTCTTTAATGCGTATTGGAAATATGTGATATAAAAGCTTAAATTTTTACACAAACAATGTACGTATTAAACGTGTCTCAACGTTTCTAGACCGACTGGTCCCTTTGTCAAGCTATGACTGAGTGAGCGATTTGTGTTATTTACCTGTACAACGATAAGACGAAACATGTTACTTGATTGTAAGTCAGGTATTACAGAACAAAGAGCACTGGAGTTTTATACAGTGTGTAATATGTGCTTAAAAACTCCCGCCTCCGACTAGTAGTGGAAATATAACTAAAAACGGAACAAACAACAATAAATGTTTCCTTAGTGTTTGTTAAAACTTTTCAATT